AATGTATTGAACGCAGGCCTGCAGAATCTGCCATAGCTTCCTTGCAGGACACAAAAAAAACTGAAAAATTTCCCCAACTTTCACAAACGTACGAGATAGAATATTTCTTCATTAAAAATGTATGTTAAAGAAAATAATTCTGTTCTTTTATGGATTCATGAGTTTTTTATTCAATGAATAAGATGGAACTACAAAAAAATTAGTATTGTTTTTGTTCATTTTATTCAGTCGTAGAGGTAATCCGATAGTGATGGTAACTTTGCTGCTTCTTGCCGTCTCAATCGACTGATGACTAATGACTCGGACCTTATCAACTTCCATCGTTGATATCAGATGTGCAGAATCTGCCCGTCTACATGCACGCGGGTGCGAGGAAATTTTTGAAACATTATTGACTGCAGTAAAAGTTTTAGGAAATTATTGGCTGTAAGAAACAGAGGTGCAGAATCTACCCTCATGTGCGTACAATAGTTTGTGAAAATTTTTAATTTTTTTTGGAAATGCTCACTACTACTACTGCTGAGAGAAATATTTTCCTCTTGTGTGGAAGTTTTTTATTTTAGTGGCAGATTCTATACCTCTGATATTTTCCCTTCTCAATTTTTCTCAAAATTTCCCCGAGAAGTCCGTTTTTCCCAGCAGCACCGCTGCAACCTACTGGTAGATTCTTCATCTCTGGTTGAACGAGAAAATGAATCACTTAACATTAAATCTTAATCGTACGGAAAATTAAGGAATCGAGATTGACGAGGATCGAGAATGTTGACACATAGTAGCTAGCTGCTGTTCGTCAAGATTCATTTTAGTAGATGTCAACAGAAAATAGAAAAGTACCATGTCTTCGCAAAATGTTCGTCCCAAGCAATAAAATAAATATTTCTTTCTACATTAGCGCATGTTCTTGAGAATCAATGTTCGAACGAGAATATAGTAGGTCACAGGAGGCGAAGGTTAAGTCAAGTTTGGTGAATGGTCAAGCGAATCATGGTAACAGACACTCTTTGTATTGCATATTAATATGGAATTTAAAATTAAATGTCAAGTTTAATATTTTTCCACCTCATACTTTATTCAGTTAAAATCAAGTGAAGAAGTGATACGTTGAGGCGAATGCCATTTAGTTTCACCTTTTGTCATCCACGAAAATCTATTTAAAAAAAACATCGATTTCTTATAAAGTTTGACGAAACACAAGTGTGGTCGAACAATTTCAGTCTGTATTAGGCTTCGAGACATTCACCTCTATGATTTATCAGTAGACATACAGTATTTCAGAGAAACAATAATTAGTTTTATCAAAGACAAATGAAAATCACGAATAGTTAGAAGCCAATTAAGAATTTGGATTTCTCAAACCTGACTATCTTTTTTGAAACTTTACAAAAGAGTGTTATTAGTGTAGAAAGTGTTTCCTGGATGAAAAACATAAAGTTCGAATTTTCTGGAACCCAATCACAGATTCAGATTTGTCATCGTGAATCGTTCTCATTGAAGCATTAGAATTGTATCAATACATGCAACTATGCGACGAAACAGTTAGATCAAGACATGAAAACATGGTCACAAAGTCATTTTATCTTACACGATTCTCTTTGCAGTGGAAGGATTAAGTCAAATAGCAACGCGGATAAAATGAGACTGAACAAGTTCTCAAGCAGAGATCTATCAAAGCATGCAGATTTTCTTAAATTGAAATCTTTAGAAATCTTTAGAAATCTTTAGAAATCTTTGGAAATCTTTTGAAATCTTTAGAAATCTTTAGAAATCTTTAGAAATCTTTAGAAATCTTGAAATCTTGAAATCTGCTTTTTTCCCCTTGACCATTATACAGGATACCGTTGAATGCGCAACTCACGCTTTAGGTGAGGTATCCTTTCCTCATCGAATCGTCATATAGGAGGCACTCTTCGGTCCTCATATCCGGCTGTATACAGCTGCGGATGGGTCGTGAAGTCCCATCATGTAAGGGTACCCGTAGACGTTCAAGTCTTATGATACTGAGATACCCATGGATCTTTAAATGGTATTCTATGGGGTTATGCATAGGTACTCAAGTGACATGATGTAGGTGTATGTAGCGTCCTGAAAGAGAGTCTGGAGAAGTGTTTGCGCACATTGCTCAGCATCCAAGTGATGTCTGGCATTACATGTCGCCATTCTATGACAAAAGTTTATTTATGTATGAGAAATTGGTAAGAGCATGAATTCTACGTCTAGTATTTAGTAGCGTTGAATGAACCGACAAATTTCGGATCTTTGGAGAACGTGCGAGGTGTGCAGTTTGGTTTTGCTTTAGCAAGTTGAGTGGGTCCTTCGTGTTTTCTTGGGGTCATTGCATTGGATATTGCAGTGTCTTAGTCAAGGGGGAACCAGCAGAGACTTCAGCCGTGAAGTCTCATGAAGTCTTGTAAGTCTTTTGAAGTCTCTTGAAGTCTTTTGAAGTCTTATGAATTATCATAAAGTCTCATAAAGTCTCTGAAGTCGTTGAAGTCTCTTGAAATCTCATGAAGTCTCATGAAGTCTCATGAAATCTAATGAAGTCTCATGAATTCTTTTGAAAGTTTTGAAATACATTTAGTGCATGAAAGCTCATAAGAAACCAATGAAATTGTCTTGTTTTCGACGATTTTATTTTAGCAGAAAGGTGAACTATTTATTGTTTTTTTTTTCAATGTGCTGGAAAAAATTCAAGCTTGTTTGGTCTTAGTAAACGTAATAGTTAATAACTGAATCTTTTTGAATGAAGTGTTTTATTTTTATAAGAAATGTTTTATCTATCCAAATCAATCTGATGAAGAATTTTAATCCTTTTTGTTTGTTTCTATCACTCGTGATAATCTATCAGCCGATAAACGGCTAGCTTTGTCAGTTAATAACCAACAAGCCGTTTGCTTGTGTATAAATTTAGTCTTGTTATTTATTTGCAATTGAAAATAGGAGTTTTTCATTGCTCGATTGATCGAATCAAATATACGCATACCAGTAAAATTTATTGTCTCAGTTTTAATTTCATCAACACTTTGTGTCGTTGCCGCATCTTTATCTTCTTCATCTACATTGATTAGATCACTATTAAATTCATTACTTTCCATTGTTTCATCATCATAATCAGATTTAGAATCTGATGAAGAATCTGCATCCGTTGCCGAATAAGTATCCAAATTAATGTTGAATCTAATACTATCAAATATATTTTTACTTAAACCATTAAGTTCACAAGCATTGCATTTCTTTAATGAAGGTAATATATTCAAATTACTAACTATTATCGGCGCCAGAAGTCAGTGCACTCGGATGTTTTTTGAATAACTTTCGATAGAAACAAGTTAGAGACCTGCGGTTTTCAACATTTGATAGGCAAGACCCAGGAGCATATTTCCTTAAGCAAACTATTTTCTGAAATAAAAGTTCCTAAACCGGTTTTCAGAGAATCTCTGAAAAACCACGATGGATTTCTGAAAACTACCATAGGAGTTTATTGATATTTTTACATGAGTAGATAGCCCAGAGTGTCCCCTACAAAACTAGATCTAAATAAAAATTCTATCTCGCAAAGTTTCGGCAAACCAGCCAGTTTTTCCGAAGCCCTACCATTCCCTTTTCTTTAGGTGTAGCACTATTGTAAACACATGAAACCATAGGTTATCGACTATGCTGAACATTGTGGGGACGTTTTGTCTTGTGCTTACAAGAACACTTTTTATTAATCATATACGTGCATTATCAATATATAGTGTTTCCATATGAAAAAAATGCTCTCATGACAATTTATGTACTCTTTTCGTGTGAATTCAACGAAGCATATGAAGAAAAATAATTTTTCTGCGTGAAAGAGAGAACGAAATATCTGGCGTGGCCTCTGGTTATTGGTAATTGCAACCAGATGCTGGTGAGGATTGTTCTTTATAGGTCGTATTATTATTTATCGGTTTAATTACAAGATTTTTCTTGGTTGCGACGCAGTGTCAAGTAACTCGGGGTTCTCCCTTATCACTGTTACATGTATTGAACCTTTCTGATATTGTTTGTTTTTTTCTTTTTATTCACTTGATATGTTCTTCTCTTTTTCTCTGTGATATATTCCTTTTGTTTGATGGGCTATTGCAACCACTTCCTATATATGTGTATGTGATCGTTTCTGTCCTTGTTCAGTAGTAGTTAGTTGTTCTTATACATCGCTCTATTTTCTTTATCTGCTGGTCATCGCTCTTGACTTGTTATTTTTTCCTGTTTTTCATATATTCAAGAAAATCGAGATATATCATATTTCTTTTCGTTCTAACTTGAATCACAACACGTGGTATTATTTGGTAATGCCGAAAGAATTTTCGTTAGAATTTAAGCAATTGGTATTTTCTATTATTGATTTTATTGAAAAAGAAAAGAATAGTCCATCAATACCTCTTAATAATGTTACAGACCGTCTTGTAGCAATACTTGGCATTTCAAGAAGATCAGTTTTTGTGTTAAAAAGTGAAATGAAACAATTGAAGGAAGACCAAGAAGAGTTTGTTAGACTTACTCGTTCGTCAAGTACCTCGTTATCACCAACGCCATTACCATCAGCCAAACGCTCAGGTCGTCCAAAAGCACAATTAACAAATTTTGAAAAAGATACAATTAGATTAACATTTCATCTATTATTGAAAGATAAAATGTATCCTACTGTTGAAAATTTATTATCAACTTTGTTAAGTCAATATCCTGAATTTCCAATACAGTCAATAACATCATTACGTCGAGAAATGAAGGCACTTGGTTTCAAATATAGAAAGACAAATAAAGCAAAAATTTTGATGGATTCGGTAGCCTTTCAAGCTCAACGTGCTGCATATTTTAGAAAAATTGATCAACTACGATTGAATAATTCTATATTATACTATCATGATGAAACGTGGCTAAGTAGAAATGAAGAAAAAGCAGTTGTATGGTTTGATGATCAAGGATATGGTCGTCTTCGAAATAGTCAAGGAAAAGGTGAAGATTAAGGTTTTATCACCATTATCCTGTTAAAATAAATTTCTGTTTCGATTTTTATAGGTCAACGTTTAGCAATCAGTGCTCTTCTTAGTCAAAACGGTTTTCATCTTCGTTCCTTAGATATTTACAAGTGTGACGAAGTACATAGTATGGACAGTAATCATTTTGTCACATGGATGGACAGTGCAGCTAGTACTTTACGATCTGAACATGGCAAAACGACTAAAATTGCTATCATTATAGATAATGCCAAATGGCATAATAAGCTTACTCCAGAATCTGAACCACCTAAACGTTCATGGAAAAAACAATTAATTGCTGATTGGCTAACTACTCGAAAAATTAAGTATGAACTCTATATGACAAAGGCCGAGTTAATACAATTAGCATTTGCTCATTTACCTCCAAAAGAATTTTTAGTTGATAAAGTAGCAAGTAAATATAATATTGAAATTGTTAGAATACCAGTGAAGCACTGCGTCTTGAATCCAATTGAACTTCGTTGGTCCGGTTTAAAAAATTATGTTCGACGACAGAATGTACATTTTAGTTTGAACGATGTTGAACAACTTTGTAATGAATGGTTAGCAGTATGTACTCCTGAACATGCTTCTGGTTATTTTGCACATGTCTATAAACATGAAGAAATATTTAAAACTGCAGACAAATATGTTGAAGAGATAGAAGATGATCTGATCGATAGTGAAGATAATGCTGACCGCGATACATCAAATGATGATGACGATGTTGATGATTAAACTGGTTTTTTCAAGTAGAAAATTATTTTTCTTCATATGCTTCGTTGAATTCACACGAAAAGAGT